ACATTCCATTTGATGCAACAATTTTTTTCCTGTAGATCTACAACTAATTTAGGGTGATAGACATGACCGTCTTGCATCCAGGTTTGAGCTTGTCTCCTGAGCTTCGCAAAAAGCGCCCCCAAACGAAAATATGTAGTCTTTACCAAAGCCGCTATTGGTAAGTGACATGCACCCTTTAAGGTTGAATTGATTGCCTCTGCCAAGTTGGTCGTCATGTGTCCATATCGATATCCACCATCATATACGTTCGTCCACATTTCTTTATCGATGAGGCTGATGTAATCATATCCTTCCTCGTTCTTCGCCCGTAACTCTTGAAACATTGATTCAAACGTTCGAGGAAGTAGTTCGTAACCTGATCAAAAAATATATAACTTACTAACTTGTTGTCTTTGCAAAATTAAAACGATCGAAAGAAAATAAACTTGCTAAGTTTCACTTACCCATGCGCACAATTAATTGACGCTCATTATTCTTCTTGTACCTTCCATGGTAGTTCGCAGTAATGTGTCGAAGACAATACCTATGTTGGACAAAGGGTGGTTACCACATTGGACCCAAAGACTCCATTGCTGCTTTGATCCCAGCTCCGCGATCTGAAATGACACAGATGTTTTCCCTCGTGATAACATGTGCCTGTAAATTTCGGAAGAAAAAAGCCCAAGAAGCTGTATCTTCTCCTTCGACAAGAGCAAAAGCAACTAGAAGAATGTTGCGATTGCCATCTTGGACAACTGTTAAAAATAAAACTTGCTTGTATTTTTCATACAAGAAAGTCCCGTCGATCTGGACCACAGGCTTGCAGTATTTGACAGTATTAACGCACTGTGGGTAACTCCAAAAAACCCGGTAGAATTGGCATCGATCGCGAAGAACTCGATCATTATAGTATGCATAGGAGGTTTCGAAGTCCACAATTGTCCCAGGATTCAACGTTCGCACCAGCCTAAACCTACCTGGAAGTTCATTGTAAGATGCATCTCATTCGCCATAAAGTTTGACAATGGCATTTTATTTTGCCAACCAAGCTTTTTTATAGGAGGCAGTGTACCCATACTGCGATTGTATAGCTGAAATCAACACTGCAACATCTATATGAGAGCTTGCTTTGACCATGGGCATGATGACTTGGCATATCACTTCAGAGTCCAAGTTGGGATGATCTTGGTTGACCCCTCCAGCACAACATGTGTGAGGACCGTTGTATACTGTTAGTTCCCATCTGTTGTTTTTCCTCTTCCTCTTCGATACGCGAATCATCCAATTGCATCCGTTTTCGCGCTGGGCACAGTAGCATATTTTTCGGTCGTGGAGCGATCTACTCTGGACTGAACAGAATTACGTATATTGTAATTTTTGATAGCCATCATCGCTTTTTCTTTGCTTAAAAACTCCATGCCTAAAGATAACTCACCATTATTTATTGATGAGTAATACCCATAGTCACCGAGATGAGGCATATCCGCAAATTCTGGCTCGTACATTGCACCATAATCAGCTTCATACATGTGTGCATGAGGGTCAGTTTGTGCCATATTTCCTGGAACTTCATCATCATCGGAGTTGAATTGCAGTGATTATGGGTCAATGAATAGTCCAGTCTCAGCACCATCCGCACCAGGCTCACGAAGCGGTTCTTCTGGTAGAGATGATGGTTCCTCCATGCTCTCCACATTTAGGTCGAAGAACCTACTACTTGCACGTCTTCCCCTTGAACTGGAAGGCATATCGACATTGAGATCGAAAAAGCTCGCAGTCGAATGCCTCCCCCTAGAGCTTGAAGCCATCGCGTCAAATGGAAACTACACAAATGGTTGCGTCGATGGCATCTCCATATTAAGGTCGAAGGGATTTGCAGATGAATGCCTTCCCCTTGAACTGGACACGATGTTGCCATACAGATTGTTCGTCGACCTACCTCGGTACATATTGTAAGGAGTTGCGGATGAATGTCTCCCCATTATGGCATTAAAATCATTACACATTACTGTCGTCGGGCTGTCAACTTGATCAACTTGTTCAGTCAGCCCATAGTGGGAGCTTAATGATTGACCCCGAACAGCACGCACTTGAACAAAATATGCATACATCTCAATAGCGGCGTCTGAATAATTACTTTGAGCTTCAACCATCATTTCAACATCATCATTGTTCGAAAGTTCGAATGCTGTATAAGTTAATGACAACAATGATGTTGGAAATCTATACTGCAACGACGACACTCTTCTACTACTTCCAACATGAATCTTCCTCGAAATCTTCGTTATCAGCTCCTCAAGAGTTATGTTTCTCTTGAATGATATTTTAACACGCTCATTTGATACGAAAACAACGCCGGTTTCATCTTCTCGAATTTCACCATCATAATAAGCAATAGCTGAAAGTCGTGCCATTATTTGAGTTTAAAAGTGCGGCACTATTATATCTGCAAAAAAAAAATAAATGAAACAAACCTGATTTAATAAATTATATATGAACGAACATATAACACAATAAAATTTTTACACATCAATGTAAATAAATTAAATAATATAATTTAATATTATTACATGCACCGCAAAACTATTTCGACGTATGCTTCCGCTTTCCAATTTTACAAACACAAAATTTAATTAAAAATAATTAGTATAATATTTTTTTTCAAATAATCATAATAAACAATAAATATAATAAAAATTATAATAAAATTACCTTATAACGAAAAATCGCACGAACTTCTAAATAAAATATGAGAAGATTGCCATAATTATTGACTCGTTGACGGAATTGTTGTATTAATTTATAAGTTGAGAGGAGAGATGTGAGAAATTAGCCGGCGGAGAATGGTATTTATAGCGAGGAAAATTATACAAAACGCGGTACCTGCCCCGCGCTATATAAAATTATGCAGTAAATGTATAGCGCGGTACCTGATCTGCGCTATACCCCTACGTGGCGTATAGCGCGCTGCAGGGGCCGTGCTATACCCACGTGGCACCAGCTCACCGTATAGCGCGGTGCAGGAGGCGCGCTATACCCCACGTGGCACCAAATCATCGTATAGCACGTGCAGGGGTGCGCTTTACTGCTAAAGGTGTTAAATCAAAAAATATAGTCTGACCGGTGTTAGATCGATAATATTATCGATCACCGGTGATATATCGAGAAAATCACCTCACATGGACACCTAGCTTTGATTATGGAAAACTATGTCCTTTTTCTCTAATGAGACCCCTTCCAATAAAATAAATAAACCCATAGTTAAAGTTCAAATATTTATTCTCAACTCAAAAGAAATCTTTTGTGATTTAATGCGTAATACAATCTGTTATTGATGATTTCGATCATTGCATTATCTACTATTCTAATTATTGATGATCATTAAGTACGAAATAAGTTAAGAAAAACAATGTTATTTTAATGCGTAATACAATCTGTTATATCACCGTATTGTTTGTGATTTAACAGTCAAAAATTAAAAATATAATATTAAAATTGAATGAGTAAATTAATTTTTAAAAAGAATGAATAATCTAAAGAAGAATAAGACAAAAAATTAAATGGTAGATTTATAGTTTAACCTATCATATTAATCGGATAAGAGGGAGAAAAAGCAATACACAAAAGCAGTAAAATACATATAAGAAACAAGTTTGAATTCAGTATGCAAAAAAAGATTTTATTTATTTAAGATCTTAAGGGTGCGTTTGGTTCACGGAATATAAGATTATCTGTGGGAATAAAATATTATCAGGGAATAGGATTACTGGGAATGTTGTATTTTGTGTTTGGTTGGTTTAGCAGGAATGTAAGATTACCGTGTTTGGTTAAAGGAATAAAAGATTATTAGAATATATATTTAACCAAATTGTCCTTATTATATATTTGTATAATATTACAAATTGTAAAATATTTTTATATTTTCTTTAAAAAAATAAATTCATAATATTTATATAATTTTTTTTTACAAAATTAAAAATATAAAAAAAGGTTTAATGAAAGAGTATAATATTTTTAACCCCTGAACTTCATATAAAATTTTAATTATAGATTTTTTTTTGTAAATTTAAAATAATTTAAGGATAAATTTATAATTTAACCTTCGTAGAATTTTTATTATTCAATGACAGAAGAATGATATTTTTGAAAAAAAAAATAAAAATTTAAAGGTATTTTAGTCTAAAACGTCGGTAATGTTACAATACCTAAGGGAAGGGAGGTAATGACATTCCCAGTAATATACCCTAAAAAATCTACTATTGGTAATAAAACATTACCGAAAATGAGATTCCCGACCAACTAAACATGAGAATGTGAGATTCTCATCCCATGAGAATCTCATCATCCTTAAACCAAACACCCCTAAAAAGCTTTCTTGTCATTGGCTTTGTCATAAATGTCCTAAAATTGAAGTACCGGTGTCCCAATAAATACACATTATATGATCTGATTTTGTCCCTGATGAGCATTCAATGCAAGCAGGAACGGGTAGTCTAAAACACAGAATTTAACCTATCTTACAGCTGGAACGATCCACAGGCAAAATTCCTTGACTATTGCGATGAAAAAAAACTATTCTAGTAAGATGTATTAACAATTACTTTATGTAAGATAATTGTTACAGTAATCTAAAAATCATATTGATTGTACTGCATTTCTCCAATTCTCACAAGAAATCTTGAAATCAACATGTAGTCATGACGTGATTTTAAAATCGTTATGTAATCTCAATAAGATCCTCGAATTATTATAATAATCACCTTAGATCGATAAATGTGATACACTTTATTCAAATAATTTTTTCACCGTAATATTCAAACAATTTTATCCAATAGCAATGTTTTATAATTCAACTTTTCATGCAAAAACAACAGGGGTTGTGTTTTTTCAGGAATCAAATAAGCTTTAAGCATGAACCAGGCCCAATTTATGATCGGATTGAAGCTCAAACACATAAACTAGCTTCGACTAAATTCAAAGTTAAAGGGATGCATCGGTCATGCAATGTATATCCGCTTGAGGTAATTAAATCCGTAATTACGTCAAGGATTAGGACATGTATTTAATGTATCAACTACTCTTAGTTTCCTACAATGTTGATCTCCACCAACCCTCCTCAGTTAACCACAATACGGTAACCTGCAAAACATCCGAGGAAGAATAAAATGGGAGTCGGCCGATGCTTTTTAACTGTAAATTTGGTATTTGTTTGTGCAATTGAATTTACCCTAGTTTCAAAGATGTATTGGAGCTTTCGTAGTCGTGCCGATTACCGTTGGAAGTACAAACGTTGGTCACCGACTCCGACGACTCACCTTCCTCAAAGATGTTCTCCGAGTCACCGGCAACTTGTCTTCGGCCCTCAGATATCTGCAATACCCGCAGTGATGAAAGCTTGTGGCCTATTACCTATACTTATAAATATACTAGCAAGGAATAGTATTATGTACGAGAAGGAGAAGTCATACTTGTTGCTTCAATCGTTCATTTTCTTCCATCAATTCAATTTCCTGCAATGCATGCATCAAAACACAGTCTTATGTCTGTTCTTTAGTATCTTTTTAATTCCTCCTTTTTGACTGCTATTTTGTATGTTTATATACTGACCTTTCTTTGAAGGTCACTGATTTCTCTCATAATCCTTTGACCCTGAAATACATTAATAATTAGAGCTAATTAAGTTCATATGTTTAATCATCGCCTAAAACTTGTACAGAAAAAGCAAGAACCTTTTTCTCCATCACACGGCTCAACCCAACTTCCAAAGATTTCTCTAGCTGCTGTAGTTCTTCAACATTTAATCCTTGGAGATCCTCGCCCCTCATTTGCCTGTTTTAATGTAGAATCCACTTTATATATGCATATATCCTCATGAATAATATGAATAAAATTGATAAGAAAAAAAAAAGATCATACCTCAGTTGATGACTTCTCTCTGCTATTTCCATTGTCAGCATGGACTGGTTGCTGTCTTCTACGAGCTACAGACAAGAAAACGTAGTGTGAAACAAGGGGATACACGGTGAGATTTTCACAACTATCAAGCCAACTGATTAAATATCGGCATGAAAAAATACGAAAAAGTGCAGAAGGATAAGAGGAAATATTTAAAAAAACAACTAACCAGCAACTCAAGACATGGCTGTTCCAGCTTCTCCAGGTTCTTTGAGCGCAAATGGTGCCTTTCTAATATCTCCTTCATGCTGAAATTAGAACATAAAAACCATCAGTTTGTTGTTTTTCTTTTCCTCTTTAATGTTAAACTATAGTACGCTCTCAGTATCAGGTTTGTGCCCTAGAAGCTACATCTAGTATACCCAAAGTTGAAAATTTATACTCTCCTACTGAGAAAGTGTAAAGTGTTACAACTATTCATGAAAATGAAAAGTAATTCAAAGTGTCTGGAAAGAGAGAATATGACAAGTATACCTTGAGCTGGCGTACTCAAAGAGCTTCCCAGTAGAAGAGAAAATAATAAGAGCAACATCTGCATCACAAAGAATGGCCAACTCCTCAGCTTTCTTAAACAACCCTCTTCTCCTTTTGGCAAAAGTCACCTGCCTGGCTTTGCTGTTATCAATTTTCCTAATCTGAATCTTTTCTCTTGCCATTTTCCCTCCTTTTTTTTAAAAAAAAACTTATAGATCTTGCTTTTTAGAGCACTTGAGCAATCGAACTTCTAATTGGGGAATAACTTAAACATGGAATCAAGTAAATCTGGAAACCCAAAAAAAAACAAAGGGAAGTTTCTATAAATAGAGTTAGTTAAAACAAAAAAGGAGAAAAAGCAAAGTTAAAGAAGGCAAGGGGACCCGGCATATTGCCAAATTTAGTGATGAAGAGACAAAACCCTGCAATATATTGCAGAAACGAGACTTGAAAACAAAACAAAAAAACATATTAGCGGGATATTTATTTCACAGTTACTTACCAGTTTTGGTGGGATATTGAGAAGAGAGAGCCTGTGAAAGAAAGCCAACAATGAAGGGTTTTGAGAAATGGGAGAAAAATAGAGAGAGGGGAGAGTTTGGGATTGTGATAAAGACAGGATATTTGCTTTGATCGATGAGAAGAAGAAAGTCCAACAATGAAGCTTTTATTTAATTTGTAATTGCTGTAAATAGAAGTAGAAAGGACGGGGAAGGAATTGAAATGGATACTTTGAAAAGAAATGGGGCACAACTCGTATGTCACTAAATTGCAGGGGTTTAATTCTAAAATTTTAAAAATAGTAGAATTCCTTTTTTTTAGGGTAAACTTTGTATTTAATACCTAAACCATCAATTTTTATTCATTTCAGTACCTAAACTTTTTAAAAATTTTCAATTGTTATCTTTTATTATTATCTTTTATGTTCAATTTTTCTCCGATCATATTCATAACATCTTATTTTGACGTTTTAGTTAATTGGTTGCTTGAAGCTAGCATTCCTAAACACTCCCTCATTGCCTGGATGGCTATTCTTGACAGATTGCCTACTGTCGATAGACTTGCTCGAATGGGAATTGAGGTGGAAGATAAATGCATGTTGTGTGGAACTGAAGATGAGACCCACAACCACATCTTTTTTGGATGCTCCTTCTCAAAGGCTGTTTGGGAGGTGATTACCCGATTATGTAATGTTGACAGAATAGTGGGGTGCTGGGACAAGGAACTGAATTGGGTCATCTCTCGGTTTAAAGGCAAAACCCTCTTTGTATCTATATTTAGAATAACTTGGTGTGCATATGTATACTGTATATGTGAGGAAAGAAATCATAGGCAGTTTAGGGGCATTAGTAGAGATGTTGATAGTGTAGTTAGCGGTATTAAAGAAATTGTTAGGCTGAAGTCAACTCGTTTTGTCATAAAAAATAGTGTTAACAATAGAAATATTTGTTTAGCTTGGGGAATTAGCAACTCCTAGGAGGTGTTGCTTGTTTTGTGATTTGTATTGATTGTAGCAGTGAGTTTCTACTGCTTCTTGGATAATAATATAAAATTTATCAAAAAAAACTAAATAATTTGATAGTATTACTAGATCTGTCTCAAAAGATGTATAAGTCTTGTGTTATTTTTTTTAAATGAGACCTTAAAATATTTTATAGTATGACGAAATTATAAAATGTCAAAATTTATCATGTTATGAATGTTTCTTACAAAATAAAAATTCCAAACGTATGAAACTAAGACAATATCATAAAATAACTTTATAATCGTAACATTTTATTTAGAAGAAATACTATCTTATGAACGCTCTTAAAAACAAACTCGTAACATTTTTCTCAAAATATAAAACCTCTAAATTTTGAGAGTAGTAACGTATCACGTATGGTAGTTAAAAATAGACGATGTATTAAACATAATAAAAGACTCCAATGTGCCGTAACAATAATATTGATATGAAACGAATGCTTTCAAAATTTTACTAATATAAATTATTTATATATATATATATATATATATATATATATATATATACACACACAAAATATTTAACTATACATAATATAAATACATAATTTATTTTTTGATAAAATAAGTACATAAGTTATTATCGAGTAACAGTATAGAATAAAGGGTAAATTACTCGAATGATCATTTAACTGTGGAATTGGTGTTAAATTATTATTATCGATACGATCACATAACTATTTAAAATAATGGGTAAACTACGAATTTAATACATAAATTATCAGTTTTGATCTATTTTAGTATTTATAATTTCAATTTTTTTAAATCATACCTAAAATTTAGTTTTATTTTATTTTAATACCTTGCCGTTAAAAACTTAATGTGTTTAGTACCTAAACTATCAATTTTATCCCGTTTTAGTACATAAACCTTCAAAAAAAATCAAAAATTAACGTTAAATTTTGAACAGTTGTACTAAAATGAAACAAAAACTAAACTTTAGGTATAATTTTAAAAGAATTAAAAATTTAAGTACTAAAACAAACTAAAATTAATAATTTACGCTAAACAAAAAGTCCAAACCACTAGATCAAGTACTTCAATTGATTCAAAATTACAACAAACTTTATTTGTATTACAATATTGTTTATGATAGAAAAACAAAAAAAACAAAATAATTCAAATGAGGTTTTGATATAAATTATAAAATATATTATATTTTAAGGTTTCAATGGCGTGACAAGAGCATGTTTACACTATTAAGGATCGAATATCAATTAAATCTATAAATATTAAGAATCAAATATATAATTATATTAATTATATTAATTTAAAATCAATATCTCTATTAAATATTAATGACATATGATTTGAATGATATCAATTAAATAATTAAATAGTAATATTGATAAAATTTAAAAAAATAGTGATCATTTCCATATCATTGTATAGTTTGATAGTAATTCCAAATGTTTATCTTTAGGGGTGTTCATTTTTTCGGTTTTAACCGAATTAACTGATCGAACTGAATTAGTTCGGTTAATTTTATCGGCCATCGAATTAGTTCGGTCAGATAACGATTAATAATTTTTTTAGAATTCGGTTAACGGTTAATTCGTTTCGAAATCGATTAATTAACTGAATTAACCGGAATTAAATTTTAAATATATTATATATAACATATGGGCTCAGCCCAAACTATTTAAAACCTAATTAATAATTTAAGATACAATAACGTTTAAACCTAAATCAATATTAATTAATTAAAAATCTATATAAAATTTTTATTTTATAATTATAAATTATTTAAATTAATTGTAAATTATTTTTTAAATTAAAAAATATTTAATTTTTATATAAATTAAAATTTTTTAAAAATTTTAGTTAATTCAAAAATTAACCGAATTAACTAAAATTTATTTAGTTCGATTAATATTTTCAAAAAAACCAATTCGATTAATGATTAAAGAAAAAAATTGATTAATTAAATTAATGATAATTCGATTTAATGGTCACTGTTTTAACCGAATGAACACCCTTACTTTTCCTAGAGTAAATATTGTATTGGGTGAATGACGTAAAAAGTACAAATTGCAGATGATTCAACCTTCTTTTTACTTTTTACAGGGACAGTGATTGATGTTACCAAAGCATGCAAGACATGGCCAAGGATGTCCTGCAACTACAACTCCTCCCTGCTCTTGTGTTTTGTCAATACACATTTTTCGTCCTACTAGGATTCAAACTCTTAAAAATAGGATAGAATTTTAGGATTCAAACTCCTAAAGATATGATAGAATTTTGCTAGGATTCAAAAAATAGGATATAATTTTATGATTTAAACTCCTAAAGATAGGATCCACAAGCACTATAAATAGCCATTGTAACTCACCATTGTAAGAGACGATTTAGACACAAAACATAGAGGAAAGCACGGGAAGATACAAAGGCAAAGCTATTGTAAAGGATTCGAAAAGGAAATAAAAGACAACTGGAAATTACATAGTACCGAAAGGGCGGTTCAAGGGTGCTAATCCTTCCTTGACCGTAACCGACTCCCGAGCCCGACATATTTCTGGTAAGACGCAGATCAGGTAAGAAATAGGGTATCCGATCAACCCATTTATTTTTAAATAAATGATCGGTGGCGACTCCAATCCACATTTTTCAAGTCGAAGCCCAATTCCGGGGCCCAACCGAAAGACCGTTGCGACAGCTTGGCAACTCCGCTGGGGACCAGGTAAGTGAGTCAGGCTAAGGTAATTTCCAGTTGTCTTTTTAACGAAAAGGGTAAGTTTAAATTTTAAGGTAATATTCCGATCCTTTTTACTTACTTTTGATTATATTTTCGAGTAAATAGTTGGACTAATCGTTTTCTCATGATTTCAGCCTTCAAAGTTTTTTTTTCATCTAAGGCTCTATACCCGAGCTCCAATTCCTTTTAAGTGGGGGTGAAAGCGATGCCTTCGTGTGAATTTATTCACCGTGTGGGCCTAGCAAGTAGCCTTCGGGATACATATACCTTATGCCTTCGTGTGAATTTATTCTCCGTGTGGGCATAAGGGAATGTTTCCTCTCGAGTTTAACTTAGTCCACACAAACCTGTGATAGGTTTAGGACTAAGGGTCTGGCAAGCCCAAGGGGCACCGACAAGGAGAACTCGGGTATCGTTTTTTAAAACCTAAACCGGGAGACCATAGAGAAATAGAGCCTACCCCGAAACCACGTTCCAAAACCTAGGATTGTTTTTTTACCTTAACCATATCTTTTTGTTTTTTTTCTTCCGTCATTTTTTTATTTTTTTTTAATTTTTACTAACGTTTTTGCCTTTGTGTTTGTTTTCTAGCATTTGCATCATTACAAGAGGCTATTGATCCCTAAAAAGCATTTGTTATACACAAAATAATTCGAATTAATGGACAAAGGTGTTGTAATACAAGAGATTGAAAACGCTGAGGCACGACTATGGTCCAAGAAGGCTCAGAAAGAGAAGGGAGACAGTCTTTAGGGGAACTATGTGTCAGAACTGGTTAGTTACGCCGCTGTCAGCCTGAAACAAAATAATCTCCAAGAGCTGCGAAACATTTGGGACAGTTGGAAGAATGACAGAAAGCAGAAGTTCAGCCAACGATATGGTGATATCGCCCTCTTGATCCATGTCAAGACTGATGAGCCCTTACTCCGAGCATTAATTCAATTCTGGAACCCGAGATATAGTTGCTTCACCTTTAACCGGGAAGACATGGTGCCTACTATCGAAGAGTATACTACTCTACTGCACTACGAAGGCATCAAACTAGAGAGGGCATATATTAAACATATCAAGAGTCAGCCTTTCAAGAACGGACTGGCCAAGATTACAGGGGTTGATGAAAAGTGTGTGACTGATCGACTCCGGCACAAAGGTAACGGGCAAGGAATTGAGTGGATCCACATAAGGCAACTAATGAAGGACCACCCTGATGAATGGAAGACTATAGACCTTTTTGCACTAGGTCTGTATGGCTTGATCATCTTTCCGAAGGTTTTGGGATGCATTGACGCAGCCGTAGTAGATTATTTGAACAACTTCCAGGCGAGTCAACCCAGCACCGACCATCTTAGCCGAGACCTTTCGGTCCCTTAATCATTGCAGAAGAACTGGTGGAGGAAGGTTCATTGGGTGTGTTCAACTCCTTCAA